TTGAAAAAGAAGAAGAAAAAAATGAAGAATGATGAATAAAACGATTGCTTCCCCATCCCAAACCCTCAGTCGATGTAGCAGCACTCCACTGCAAATCAGGTTATTTGTCAGTCGATGTATGTACTGTGTACTGAAGCCCCCAGCAGCAGGCTACTTCAGTATGACGTCAGATTGCTTACCATAGTACACAATACTATTTGTATATATAATATATATATATATATATATATATATATATATATATATACATATATGTATATACATATATACACAAACACACACACACACACACACATATTTATTTATATATATATATATATATATATATATATATATATATATATATTATATATATATATATATATATATATATATATATATATATATATATATATATAAACACACACACATATATATATATTAGTGATGTACCAATATCACTTTTTTGGCCGATGCCGATTCCGATGGATGGGAAAAGGCCTTCCATTGCTCATAGTCATATCTCGATTAAACTCTTCTATGGCTTGTGGTCCAGACACTTTTCCTGTCACAGTCTTACAAAATTGTTCTCCAGAACTCTCTTCAATTTTCTCTAAACTATTTAATAAGTGCTTGACTGAATCTTGTTTTCCTGCCTGCTGTAAAATGGTATCTGTTGTTCTAATTTTTAAACACTCTGGTAAACTTATTGACCCCTCCGATTATTGTCCTATCAGTCTTCGTACTGCTATTAGCAAGGTCTTTGAGTCTTTGATAAACAAATTTCTCACATTCCATCTCGAGTCAAAATAACTTGCTGTCAGACCAAACTATTGTAGTACTGTTGACATTCCTTTATTGATGAATGGCAACCCTCTCACTGATTCCACTTCTTTACGCCTTCTTGGATTATCATTTACTACTGACTTTTCATGGAAACCATATATACAATCGGTTGCTAAATTAGCATCTGCTAAGGTTGCTTCTTTTTATCGTGCTCATCATTTCTCTCTCTCCTGATTCCATTCCCTACCTCTACAAATCTCTTATTCGTCCCTGTATGGAATACTGTTATCATGTTTGGGCTGATTCTTCTAACGATTCACTTTCTCTTCTTCTAACAATTCACTTTCTCTTCTAATGTTACTCTTTCTCTTCAAGATAAGGTTTAAAAAAGGATTGTAAACAAAGTTGGACCCGGTCTTTCTGCAAAGCTTGAGCCTTTTTCCCATATTGTAAAGTTGCATCTCTTTCTCTTTTCTACAATTACTACCATCGTTGCTGCTCAAAGGAGCTTTCATCTTTAGTTCCATCAATCAAAACTCATTCTTGCTTGACTTGTCATTCATCAAAGTCTCATTCTTCAACTGTATCTGTTTCTTCCTGCTCTAAAAACTTTTATTTGTCTAGCTTATTTCCACTCACTTCAACCCTTCAGAACTCTGTCCTTCTTCATATTTTCCTGACTCATACAACCTTCAACTTTTTAAGTCTTTTGTCAACCACTTCATTGCTCTATAACTCTACTCTTTTTTTCTAGCAACTTCCAACTTGATAGCGGTTGCTTGAAGCCTTATTGGGAGTAAAAAAGAATTAAAAATATATAAATAACAATGCTTAAATAGGTTACTTTTAAAGCTTTTGTCGGTAAACAAAGTCAAAATAAAAATTTATCTAAAAATTTCTAAGTAATGCACAAAGTTTAGTTTAATTATTATGATAATGGAGGATAAAAATATAAAAATGCCATTGGTTGAAAAATCAGTAAAAAAGGCAGATGCTGATACCGATTCCAATTGTGCAAAAAATGGTTGATTAGGCCGATGCCGATACCAATCAATCGGTACATCACTAACATATATATTTATATATAATATAAAGTATTATAATGTTTATTGTACTTACTCAATTGTGTAAGGATTTTGATTCATTGACTTTCTTTTTTTTTTTTTACGAAATCTTAACACAGCAATAACAAAAATAACTGCAACAAAAACAGTTAAAACAGGAACTAATATGACAGCAGAGAACATTAATGCTTTTTCTAAAGTAATGAAAATTTTAGAACTTTAGATTTCTATATAATTATTGTTAAAAACAAAATTAAGTTTAATATCTAGATTGTTACAAATAAACAGATTACAATATATACTACAACCAACTCACTATTAGTAGAATTTGAAGTTGATGTTGAAACTAAACAAAAAAAAATATGAAAAAGCATAGTTAAAAAAAATTATATGCCTTAAATAAATAAATTCCAAATTACTTAAAAAGCCATAGCAAAAAGTTCAACTGAGTTTTAGAGTAGTAACCTTATTAAGAGGTTACAAATGGATTAACATGGCCACTAACAAAAGTTAAAGCTGAGGAATAAAAACACCTATACTCATAATTATATATTCTCAAAATAGTCACTATAATCTAAAACCATTCTTTTTTTTCAAACTAGTTATAATCACCAAGATATGGAACACCTATTATAGAACATCTAGATATAGAACTCCTATTAAAATCGCCTAGATATAGAACACCTATTATAGAACACCTATTCGAAACATAAAAAAAATTGTTATTGTCTTTAAAGTTTTAATTGTCATAAAATATACAAAACATTTTAAGACTATTTTAATGAAAATTAAAGCTCTCTTAATAAAAAAATTTTATTAAATACCTGGATAATACTTTAGTACCACCTACACAAATTAATTATACCTTTTGTAATGATAACAATAGGCTTCATTTCTTTCGCTAACACAAAAAGTAAAATGTAATATAATAATACAAAATATAATAATAATATTAATATTCCTAATTAATATTAAAGTAATACTATTTACTGAGCATGCAAAAAAATTTAAATAAAAAAGTATTAAATGACTAGAATTCCATATGGTTATTCCATATGGTTATTCCATATAGAATTCCATATGTTTAAAATAAAATGAATTAATAAAAATATTAAAAATAATTATACTAATATTTTTTTTTATTATTATTATATTAAAATTTTCATTTTATGTTTTATTTGTCTAGTTTTTGTTGATTTTACTAGTCTGATTAAAAAAAAAGAAAAAACTTACTTGAATTACCATTGACAATAAATAAATTTTTTATTGAACCATTTTGAGCCTCTGTCCATGGATTTGATGCATACACTTTTACATCAACAAAGCTATCAGCTTGATGGTTTATTGTAGAAAAAACAACTTCTTCATTTATAATGACTGTGTATATATAAAATGAACCATTGAAAACTTGACACATTACAATATTTGACCACTGATTAATTTCAAATGCATTTGTCGAAAAAGTATTTACATCAGTATATTTATTAATTAAAGATGTGATTTCAAGTACACCAGTACCTTGTGAATTTGCCCAGATTCCTGGTGTTTTATCAAGATAATTGGAATGATCAGAACCAATAGTGAAATGAATAACATTGTGAGAACCAAAGTCGAATTTAATAGGATAAAAATCAAGTGAAACAAAATATTCTTTATCGAGGACCGGAATCTCTGCAATATATTTCCCCTTTGCTAATGGAGTAATAATATCACCAACTATGTACTCTAAAATATAAGATAGTCCTATAAACACACAAATGAACCAACTAAATATAGAACTAATCTTTTTACTCAAATAGTCCAACTTAATGTTTTTAGTTATTGTTTAAGACTGATCAAAGATTCATAAGATCATAGATTCATAAGATTTAAAAAATTATAATTAATTCATTTCATTCAGGGGAACTAGGCATTTATATATATTATCAAGAATTTAACAAAATACAAACATTCACAAAATGCAAATTAAAATGCGACAAAGGTGCGACTTCCAAGACAGTTTGGTTGAAAATGTTAAAGAAGATATTGCAAATAAGACAAAAAACAAGATTATAACTTTAGATTAGTTTCAATATTCTTTTTTATAACTAGAATAAAAATTTTAGGATTTATTTGTAAATATAACTTTTTATTAAAATTAACTCACTTTGTACGCAATTTAAACAATACCAACATGGACTGCTGCATTAAAAACAGCTCAGTGTATCACAATTGTTTACCAAAACACAGATATTTTTATTTTCAGTTAATATATATGTCTTTTTTTCTTTTCATGTCAGGACTTGACTACCTTTTTTAGATTAATTTAATGGCGTGTTTATATAACATTGACAAAAAATTGCAAAGAATTGAATATTGTGTTTTGTGAATTCATGAATAAACGTGCAAGTAAAATTATCTTTTGTTTTGGAAAGGTATTAGGCATTTTTCTTAAAACCATAATCTGTATTGACCGGTACTTTACAGGTCAAAACAGCTAGCTATAAACAGGCTTTGACCACGTAAATAATATTTAGTTCCGAAAAGCTGGCCAGATTTTTTAGCCGTTTTGAGAACATTTTAAAAAGCAAAAAAAAAAAGCAAGATTATTTGGACCGATGAGAGAAAATTACAAAAAAAAAAAAAAAAAAAAAAAAGAAAGGGCAAATAAAATATCTTTAAACGTGAAAAAACTTAAAGCTAAATAAATTACATTTAGAACAAATATTTTTGAAACATCGCTCTTTTACAATTTTTTTTATAAAATTAAGCGATGTTTTTTATATAAAGTAACAACTTACGATTGTTTAAAAGGGAAACAAATATTCTTTATTTAACTAAGTTTGCAAGTTTTAGTTTTACTTAAGCTAAATTATTTTATAAATAAAAAAGCTAATTTTTATTAATACCTATTTTATGTTTCGCGTAGTTTGAAAAGTTCAACATATTTGAAGCAATTCTTCTTAGTAAGATAAACAAATGAAATAATTAAATCATTGAATTACTATAGGAATTATAGTATCAAGATAGAAATCAACTAAAAAGGTTAAAAATACTTAATGACCAGGAAGCGAAACTGCTTCACAATATCGCTGATGATGTTTAGTGAGTGGGCTTTCAAATTTTAATTAGTATTTAAAGCAGAAAAAAAGTATAACGAGTTTTAAGAATGGCAACTTAAGCGAAAATAATTAGAGTTAGTAAACCAATATCTAGAAACTTTTCTTTATATCTAATTATTTGCTAAATATATTTGTGTTCTGTCGTGACCTCAGGCGCGATGCTTGTTCATCCGCAAGTTACTTTGTATGCGTTGTTTGTGTTTAGTAACCAGAAACTTCTTATATGTTTGTTACATAATTAGTTTTATTAACTTTAACGATTATAACTTCATTGAAAACGCAATTATTTTTGTAAGTCTTAGTTTAAATCATGAAAATTGCTTTAAAAGATACATTGCGATAAAAAACAACTACACAAAATTACATTTACATAAAGAATACAATCTCTTTTAAAATAAAAAATAAGAATATACTAATAAAATCTATGATTTATAATAAACTTTTAAAATTTTAACAATTTAATTAATATATATTTAAAACATTTATTTTTGTAAACAAATAATATATATTCTTAAAACAATGCTAGAAATCTCAAAACAAAACAAATCGTGAATAATACAATTTCTAAAACAATTTAACAGTATACTCTAGAACTTTATTTTGCTTAATCAGCGTGTTTTTTGAACCAATAGAATTAGTTTGTTCGTTAATTTGGCGGGTTTTTAGTGTTCGCAAATATTCTTTTTATTCTTTCGCACAAAGATGTTTTAAGAACATTCAAGTTTTTTATGTTTCCATGTATGTCTGTAAAACAAAAATTTTTTGTTTCGTACATAAACTTAAATGTTCTCAAAACGACTAAAAAACCTGGCCAGTTTTACGCAACTAAATATAATTTCCGTGGTCAGTATTCAAGAGCGATCACTCCCGCTTCCCAACCAAGCCTGTATAAATAATACAATTTATTGTAGTTAATATCATTAACTGTAAATTATGATATTTTAGCTTTACTTTAAAAAACTATTATGAAAAGTTTTCGAGCCCACTCAAATTCTAAATTTCAATTGTTTTTTATTGCCTTTAAGGAGCTCAGAATGAAAATGTGGAAACAGCTATAACAATTATCTTATAACTAGCTATAACATAGGAGTAGATAAATAAAGAATGTATATAACTTATTTAAGTTTTATTTTTTATAAAAAAAACTTTAATCATACAGAAATTTTTAATATAAAATTATAAAGTAACTGTTGAAAGTTTTAGACTTGTGTCATTTTCGAAATGACAGGTTCAATTATAAATTAGTAGGAAATCACTCAACAAAATTTTTTCTAATTTTACACTGTTTCACCAATAAAGACTCATCAGAAAGGAATGATCAAATTAATAAAACTTTAATTTATACAAAAATTAAATAACAAGAAGTCACTAATGCCTTAACTTTTGTAAATTTTCACACATTTGTGGAATTCGCTGACACTGTTATAAAAAGAATTTTTAGGAAATGATTACTTATGCTTTTTTAGAAAAATATTTTTTAGGAGAGGGATTTAATGTAACTATTATTTGAGCTTATTTGCTTTTATAGTTTTTTAGGAAAAACTTATTTTGGTGCCTGCATTTAGAAATTAATTCCCATTTTTTATTTAATAAACATTCTTGGTTTGCTTGTGTAATTATTTCTAATTTTTCTTGTTGGCATAGTATACATTTTTTGGAAATATTCTTATATGCAGGCGTTGTTTTGAGGATGGACTAATTTAGTATAAAATCATCAATATTGATGATTTTATATTTTAATTGTATTGAAATACGATTAAAGTTTGCTACAGTTGCACAAAAAATATAGAAAGAAATATAAAAGGTCACAATAACGCTTTGTTAAACAAAAAAAGAATTCTAAATAAAAAAACTACAGAAAATTGTAATTGTAAACAAAAAAGCAATTGTCTATTTAGTGGAAGCTGTTTATCAAATAATGTGGTATATAAATGTGTTGTTTCCTCTAAGAATGTACCCAATAAACAGTATATTGGCATAACAGAGGCTAAAAGGAAAAAACGTTTTGTCAATCATAAGCAATCTTTTAAAAATAAAAAGTATTCAAAAGACACCATTCTGTCAAAACATAAATGGGAACTAAAAGATAAAAATATTGATAGTTTTATACTGAATTGGTCCATCCTTAAAACAGCGCCTGCATATAACAATATTTCCAAAAAATATACACTATGCCTACAAAAAAAATTTGAGATAATTAAACATGAAAACCAAAAATGTTTATTAAATAAAATAATCGGAATTAATTTTTAAATGCAGGCACGAAAACAATTTTCTCCTAAAAAACTATAAGAAACAAATGAGCTCAAATAATAGTTACATTAGGTCCCCCCTTTTAAAAAACCATAAGTAATCATTTCCGATGAATTCTTTTCATTTACGACTTCCTGTAATTTAATTTTTGGTATAAACAAAATTTTTAATTTGATCATTCCTTTCTGATGAGTCTTTATTGATGAAACTCAGTGTAAAATAAGAAAAATTGTTGTTGAGGGATTTTCCACTAATTTATATAAATATATATATATATATTAGACTGCTTCATTTTGATGTCATAAAAAAATAAAAAGTACCATGGTCTCTTATCTGCTGCGCCAACCCATATTTTATTATTAGATTTTTTTGTCATTTTGAATTTGGACCACTTTTAGGGGTTGCTCAAGTGCCTTAAAAGTCATATTTTAGACATTTTAAACCCTTTTTTAAGCTCATTTTTGGCACGTTTGAGCAAGTTCTAAAACTCAAAAAAAAATTATATTTCTTTCTTTTAAGAGTTTTTACTTAGGTCGAAAAACCAAATAAAAATGCATGGTAATTTTATTTATGGAAATATTATATATAAATCTGTCTACAAAATTGCAAATTTATGAGATTTTTGCAATTATTACGCATTGCAGTACTTTCAGCTTAAATTTTTTAAAAGAAGCATAACATATTTGTTGCACGAAACGCCAAGCAAATTTGTAAAACAAACTTTTTATAAAATCGTTATTTAAAAAAATATTTTAAAATTCATTTATTCATTGTTTTTTAGTTTTTTAAAGTGGTCTTGCTTTTTCCTTTATACTAGCTTTTGCCGTTGTTCAAGATTAAAAGTTAAAATAAAAGAATAAAAAGTAAAGTTACCAGCCAGGGTGCAGTGGTAGCGCACTTGCCTGAGAATAAAAAGATCCGTGGATCAAACACCACCTCTAGGCAACTTCCTATTAAATACTCATAGTGCTCTATGATCTTTAGGACTTCTTAGGGCTTAAATAAAACTTAAAAATAAAAAATCAAAAAAGAAAAGCAAAATCTGTCTTTTTCTTTTTTTTTTTTTTTATTGTTAATTCACCTTTTTACTTTGGGTGCTTAAATACTTCAGTAAGTCCAAACGGTCTGATCAAAAAGCACAGCGGAAGAACATTTGACAGGAAATTTACAACTCCTTCTCTACTGATGCAGTACCACTTGCCTAAAGCTGGCTTTTAAACACAGATCTCTTGCTTCTGACACAATCGGGCTACTACTGTGCCATGAATACAGTTCTTTCAGAGCAATGATTAACATCAGCAAGATGTTAATCAACAACAACAACAACAACAACAACAACAACAACAAGCTGTTTGTTTTCCGTAATTTATTTTTGCAATAGTATTGATAAAAATAGTAATAAATAAAAATAAGTTAATGATTGCAATGAAAGAACTGTTAAGCTCATAAGGGACAACAATGAATTTGTTAGAAATGTAAAGAGGAGACAACTTTTGCTTTTATTCTTAAACAACTACATAAGCAAGTAGGAAGAAAAGGCCTCCAAAAGAAACAAAAAAACAATGAATAATTATTATAAAATATTTTTTTTAAATAATAATTTTATAAAAAGTTTGTTTTATAAATTCGCTTGGCGTTTTGTGAAATAGATATGTTATGCTTCTTTTAAAAAACTTAAAAAGAGCTGAAGTTACCGTAATGCGTAATAACCTGAAAAAATCTCATAAACTTGCGATTTTGTAGACAGATTTATAGATAATATTTTCCATAAATAAAATTACCATGCATTTTTATTTGGTTTTTCAACCTAAGTAAAAACTCTTAAAAGAAAGTAAAAACTCTTAAAAGAATTTTTTTTTTTTTTAGTTTTAGAACTTGCTCAAATGTGCCAAAAATTGGCTGAAAAATGGGTTCAAAAGTCTAAAATATGACTTTTCAGGCACTTGAGCAACCCTTAAATGTGGTCTAAATTCAAAATAAAAAAATCCTTACTAATAATGTATGGATCTGCGCAGCAGAAAAGACTCCATGGTACTTAAAAGTTTAGTTTAAAAATATTATTTAAATATTGAAAATAAAATGGTGAAAGTAAAGGACCTCAAAAAAATTTAGACAAATGTGAAGCGTTAGTTGCTAAGCAGTTTATGGAATGGGGTTTACCCAGACCAACTGCTTACAATAAATCGTAAAATTGGAGAATGGATCTCTAAAAAAAAAAAGTTGGAAGTAGCTAATAAAGAAAATATTAGAAAGATTGCTGCATTTTTTGAAAAAAAGTCAGGGTGCTCCCAAAAGAAAGTAGCTCAAGTTTTTAACTGTAGTCAAACTCGAATTTCCCAAGTATTAAAAACAATGACTAACATTTGAACTTTCAAAAACACAAATTGTCCAGATCGTAGCCATCAGCAGAAGAAAGCTAAATGCGTCCTAAATGTCGTAAATTGTACAAAAATTATATAAACTTGGATTTTGTTATGGATGATGAAAGCTATTTTACCTTAAACAATAGCAGATTAGCTGGTAATGATAGGTTTTATGCTGCTGATCCTTCTCAATGTTCTGACAAAGTTAGATACAATTTGCGTAAAAAGTACGGGGACAAGCTCTTAGTTTCTTGTTGCATCAGCCCCTGTGGAATAAGCCCTCTTTATATTTATCACAGTAAGCAGACAATCAACCAGTACACTTATAAAGAGATACAAGAAAAAACTTTACTTCCTCTAGTATCAGAATATTATAAAAAAGACAATGAGTTTATCATCTGGCCTTGATCTAGCTCGATCGCATTACGCAAAGTTGGTCATCAACTTTTGAAAAAAAAATAAAGTTGTACCCAAAGATATAAATCCAGAAGCAAGACCAATTCAAAACTTTTGGAGTGATTTAAAACGGCTAGTGTACGAGAATAATTTGAGAGCTGAGAATTTGGAAGAGCTTGAAGCAAGAATTAGATATTGTTATTCAAAGGTGAATAAAGAAATTTTCCTTACTCAAATAAAACATCTTTCAAAAAAACTTTATAATATTACTAAATTTAGTATTTGAAATAATTATTTTAATATATTTATAAACAACATATGCTAACATATTAACAGTTGAAATATTATATAAAAAAACTTATTAGTTCTTAAAATTTTATTTATGAGGTGTTATATAAAAACTTTATACATTTATTAATATAATTTGATCTTAAGTGTCTGGCACAATTACATGTGAAAGGGTTATGTTTTTATTGAAATACAACAGGGTTAATGTATTTCTGATAAATACATTTATTTCATGGTCAATGGTCATGGTCATGTTGTGGGTTCCTCAACCAGAGTATTTATCAGCTTGTTTTTCAGAGATAATAAGCATTCCATTAAAAGTATGATATCTAAAAGTATGGTATATGGCTTGTAAATTTTAACTCGAACAAAACTCAGTAATTTATTGCAAACAACTATCCCAGTACTGTCAACATTCCTATATTGATGAACAGCAACGCTCTCACTGAATCCTCCTCTTTAGGTTTTCTGGGATTATCATTTACTACTGACCTTTCATGGAAACCATATATATAATCGATTGCAAAATTAGCATCTGTTAAGGTTGCTTCTCTTTATTGCGCTTGCCATTTTCTCTCTCCTGATTCCATTCTCTACCTTTACAAATCTCTTATTCATCCCTATATGAAATACTGTTGTCATATTTGGACTGGTCCTTCTATTAATGCTCTCTCTCTTCTAGACAAGGTCCGACAATGCATTGTAAACATAGTTAGACCCAGTCTGTCTGATAAGCTTGAGCTTCTTTATCATCGTTGTAAAGTTGCATCCTTTCTCTTTTCTACAAATACTATCATGGCCATGACTAATTATTTATTTACAATATAGACACAATGTATTTAAAAAATCATTTATACTATCACTTTTTGACAGTGTACAGGTATTATAGCCCAACACAAAATTACGAAATGTATTATGGCTGTTACTAATTATTTATTTACAATATAGATACAATGTATTCAAAAAATCATTTATATTGTCACTTTTTGACAGTGTACATGTATTATAGCTTAACACAAAATTACTGTGTAAAAAATGTTATACAAATTTCTTGTGAAATTTTAAGGTGGTTAAAACACTTTTGTATTTCAGATCTAGGTACTTTCAAATCAGTATTTACCCCAGAAGAAGAAAGTGAACTTGTTATGAACATTTAGCTAATGGAAAAAATGCTTTATGGATTCAGTTAATTTGCGCTCAGAAAGTTAGCATTTCGGTTAGAAAAAAAAGAAACATGGTTTTAATAATAAATAAGGTGTTGCCAGTTATGAATGGCATAAATATCTGGAAAAGAGACATTCCAATTATTTGCCTCTTTTGAAATCTGAGACTATATTAGTCTCTCCATGGGCTTTCATTGTGTTGCTGCAGATTCTTTTTTTCTTTAGTGGAAGAAGTTGTGAATACAAACAAGCTACATATTAAAAATATCTGGATTGTTGATAAAACAGGTTTTTCTACAGTTCCAAACTTTCTCTAAAAAATAGTTAACAATAAGAGACACATTGGAAGAGACACATTGGTTCTCTCACTTCAGCTGATAGAGATCAGCTTGTCACAAAAGTTATTTGCTTATCATAAAGTAAAACGCACATGCCACCCATGATGATCTTTTTTCATTAACAAATGAAGACAGAGTTAATGGATGGAGCACCAAGTGCCTAGTCTGCCACTCAAATGGCTTGATACAAAGAGAAATGATTATTATTTGGTTGGAAAAATTAACTCAATATTTATGTGCCTAAATAAGCTCTCCAGTTCGACTAATTTAAGTGGAGTCTAAAGGAATATTTTAAGTCTTACATTAAAAGCATTAAACTAATCAACATTGCAAGAGGAACAGGTGTTATTTTTCTGTGTTTTCCTCCTCATTGCCGCCCTAGGATTTAAGTTTTATGAAGGCACTTGGCCCTTACAAATCTCTTATTCGTCCCTGTATGGAACACTGTTGTCATATTCGAGCTAGTTTTTCTAGTGATACTCTTTCTCTTCTAGAAAACTGAAAAAAGCTAGACAAATAAAATTATTTTTATTTGTCTAGCTTTTTTGCTCTATAACTCTATTCTATTATTCTAGTAACTCCCAACTTAATAGTCGTTGCTTGCAACCTTATTGGGAGAGAATAAGAATAAAAAAATATATATATGAAAAATGTTACATAAGTAATGTTATATTTTCAAATATTTGTATTCGATAATCTTTTCGAAAACTTGTTTGTCAATTTTGAGCGCATATTCTATATATGACTTAAGTTATGATTTGCACTTTTTTTCATAGTTTATGATTGAATATGAGTTGTATTTTTCTTTTAGTGCATTAACATTTGTTAAATGTGTTATACAATTTGTTTTAGTTTGCATATGTTTATAAAAATATTTTGTTTTCATGTTTTCAAAGTGAAAACATGAAAAAAAAACTTGCTCTACACCTGACACGGTGTAGAACAAAGTCAGTAATCTAAAATCTGAGAGCAGTTATAGCAGAGGTATACTTAGAGGTATACAGGGCAGGACTTATCGCTTTAAAGCTAGGCTTAGTCTATTTTTAAACATATAATATTTGTTATTAGTTAGCATAATGTAATGTTAACTTGCAAATATCTTTAGCAAAGTGTCCTTTTTTATCTGTTATTGCTGTGCTGTTTTGCATTATTAAACAGTTAACTTGAGTTCCTGTTATTGTGTTATAAAAATGATTTTAGGTAGTTTTATTACTGAAACAATTTGTTTTAATTCTATCTTGAAAAAACATGACCATTTTTCCATAAAATCATTTTTTTAAAAATATAAATTTTTTATATTTTAATTTTTTATCGAAACATTAACAATGATAACAAAATAAAATATTAATACCCTATTAATAAAATATTAATACAGAAAATTAATTAATAATTTCTGTCAAATTACATTATTATATTTTGGTGGTGTTTCTATTTTGTACCATCATTCTGTTTACTGCAGGAATCTAGTAATTACTACTGATAATTCATAGTAAAAAGCATTTTAAAATTTTAAAATGTTTTAGTATGTCAGAAATATAAATTGATTACCCTAATTTTATATATTCATTATTATTTTTATTTTTCAACTTAATTTAATAAATGGCTTATAAAAGTGGTATTAACACTAAACTTTAGTTATAATAAATAAACTTAACATTTTAAAATTAACACAAAAGTATATTAATATATATTTTATATTTACCAACTATATTAAATATATTTACTATATTAAATATATTTACCAACTATATTAAAATATATTTACCAACTTTTCCATTGATTATCAGAAGGTCAGAAATGAAACCATGTTGTGAAGTATCCCATATGTTAGAACCATAAACTTTAATGTTTTCAAAATCTGTGGCCAACAAATTTTCTACTCTATGAATACTAATGTTATTCAGATCAAAAGTAAAGATATATTTTTTTCCTAAAAACCATTGACTAATTCTAACATTATGCCATTGACCTAAAGTAAGCGGATCTGTTTGGACAAAGTAGGTACTATTACCATTAACTGTAGCATAAACAACAAGACTTCCAGAACCATCTTCATGAAACCAAACACCTAGATTTCTGTCACCATATATTTTATTGCTCTTACACAAAAATAAATCAAGAATATTTTTCAAACCCTTGGAGTAACTTATAGGCATTAAATTAAATGATAATGTGTACTCCTTTTTTAAAACACTTAGTGTTCCAAGAATTGTTCCTTGATTTATAGCAAACTTATGTTTAAGATTAACAAAATCTAAACAAAATAAAATTATTTATAATTTAAATACAGCATCAGCATAATATAATACAGTCGCAGATAAAATAACTGAAACGCCCAGGCCAAGTCAAACAAAAATGGCCACAAAACAAAATTTTTAAAAACTTGAAAATCATCGAAAAATATTTACTTACATATATATATATATATATATACACACACACACACACATATATATATATATATATATATATATATATATATATATATATATATATATATATATATATACATATACATATATATATATATATATATACATATATATATATATATATATATATATATATATATATATATATATATATATATATATATATATATATATATATATATTTATATATGTCAAAACCTGAAAGACTTACCTTTAGCGCGATTAACAAGAGATTTAACTTCATCTACAAAAAGGAAAACAAGAAATTAAATTTCAAATGACAAAAAGTTAACAATAACTGTAAAGTTATTGTGAAACAACTTATTTTTAATTAATGAAAAAAATTAATTAAACATTATTAAATAAGATCACAATTCATGAAAAACAAAAAGCACACACAAAAAAGTGGCTCTTCTACTAAAATGACACTAAGTGTCATTTTAGAACTAAAACAGGCAGAAAAATGTAAATTATCAAATTAATTTACAGAAAAAAAAATGTAAATTATCAAATTTCATTCTCCAAAAATATTTAAACAAAAACAACTTATTTGAAATACCATTAATTATAAAGAAACTTTTTATTGAACCATTTTGAACTTTGTCCCATGGATTTGAAGCATAAACTTTGACATCAAATAATTCTTGAGCTTGATTGTTAATCATAGAAAAGACAACATCTCCATTTATTCTTAATGTGTATATATAAAATAGTCCATTGAAACGCTGGCAAACCTCAATATTTGACCAAACATTTAATTGAATAGCATAATAATATAAACTTGGTTTTCCATTATTTAATGCAACAACTTTAATTTTTCCTGAACCATTTTCATCTAACCAGATGCCTAGAAATTCATTTCCAGTGTTAACCATTTGAGCTCCAGATGTAAAATGAATAATGTTGTGCAGTCCAATCTCAAATACAATTGGATTAAGATCAAAAGATACAAGATACTCTTTATTTAGCTTTGGTATTTGAGCAATAATCTTCCCTTTTACTAATGGAGTACTAAAACTCTCAATAAGATATTCTAAAAAATGGTAAAAAATGAAGAATTATATATATATATATATATATATATATATATATATATATATATATATATATATATATATATATATATATATATATATATATATATATATATATATATAAATATATATAAATATATATATGTATATATATATATATATATAAATATATATATGTATATATATATATATATATATATATATATATATATATATATATATATATATATATATATATATATATATATATATATATATATAAATTAGTGTGTATTCTACAAATAGAGAGCTTAATGTTCTCAAAAAACAGAGCAAAATAATGAAGTAAAAGCACTTATCTAATTTTTGTGCTCTTCAACAGCATGTTTCATCATCAGTGGGTTCATCAGGAAGATCCTGATGAACCCACTGATGATAAAACATGCTGTTAAAGAGCACAAAAAGTAGATAAGTGTTTTTACTAAATTATATAAATATATATATCTATCTATTACAGGTCAGAAATTTAAGGTTTAAGTTTAATATCCGAGTACCCCAAAAATGTAAATAAATATAGTAAGTGGGGCATCAGGACACTTCATTTTCATATTTAGAAAAATCTGGGAGGTTTCACATTTTTAGAAAATTGACATTGAAAATCTGATAAAAAGTCATTATTTTCGTACTTAAAAATACTGACAGAAAGTTGAAGTTTATTTAAAAAAATGTTCATATACTAACTTTTCAAGGTATTTTATTTAATATTTATACATAAACATTATTAGAATACACTAAGTTGGTCAAAAAAACATTTTTTATTAAAAATATTTCTTTTTGACTATGCATTTTTATTTTAATTTTATTATAGATACCTAATATATTGAATCTATGGCTCCTCTGCTCTCTAAGGAGAAGAGAGAATACCATTTTAATAGAAATCGTGTACTTTTTCAAAAGATCATTTGCTGTTGCTGCCTTGAAAAGAACAGCAAATGCATTCCAGTTAATAAAAATTTGGAAGGTCTGGTTCAAGTTTTCTGTAAGCCTGACTTTTCACTTCAAGTATTTGCCTACCCTACAGGATTATGCCCAGGTTGCCCAAGAAAAACTTATATCTCTGTAAGGCTGGTAAAACTATTGCAGACACAGTTACTTTAAAATGGAAAAATTCTGATTTGTCTAGCTTGCAAACCTCTAGAGATTGCTTAATATTATGCAGTATATGCAGTCAAGGAAGAAATAGATTATTAAATAAAAGTATGAAAAAGGGAAATCTTTCTGAGAGTATTCTAAAATTTCTAAAAAAGTAAAAGAACAAGTAGCTTCTTCCCTTCTAAAAGAAATTTATTCTGATCAAGAACAAAGTCTAGGAGCTCAAGCCATTCTCAGAACAGGTAAAATAATGTTAAATAAAAATAGCTGTTATGTACGTTTTTAAAATAACAGTTTATATTATATTAAGGAGGTAAAAGTATTCATATTACACTCAGTACTCGGGAAAGTGACCAGAGAAAGATAATATAACAAAAGAAGAGACCCAAAATTTGGTAAACTGGTTACCAAGTTTTGTGGAGTTTGATCCATTTGACAATATTTTTGAACTGTATGATTATTTTTTTGCATTCAATTTTATGCATCATTAGATAAATTGTTTAAAATTCAATAGGTTTGAAAAGCTATTAATTCACCAATACACAAATAAACTCTTAAAACAACACTTGATAAGATATCTAAAAAATGTTTTTGAATATTTTATCGGACAACTCATTTTTTTGATGCAATCTTTAAAACCATGATTTTTTTTTTTAAGTGTATGATTTTTTTTTTTTTTGCATATATATATATATATTTTTTGTATATATATATATATATATATATATATATATATATATATATATATATATATATATATATATATATATATATATATATATATATATATATATATATATATATATATATATATATGTATATATATATATATATATATATAAATGTATATATATATATATATACATATATATATATATATATATATATATATATATATATATATATATATATATATATATATATATATATATATATATATATATATATATATATATATCTATATATGTATATATATATATATGTATATATATATGTATATATATATATATATATATATATATATATATATATATATATATATATATATATATATATATATATATATATATATATATATATATATATATATATATATATATATATATATCAATCAATCAATCAATCATATATTCTGAAAATAAATTTTCAAGGCTATTTACAAATAGTATTGAAATACTAATCTCAAGTAAATACCTAAAAAAAAAATTATATATATACAATTAATCTTAGTAATGATAATATTAATAGTAGTAATAATAATAATAACAATAATAATAAAGTAATTAAAATAATGTAAATAAATCGGTATTACTTCCCATACAGCAATCATTTTTACATACAAAGTTACAGAACAAACAGTACTAAACTGACTAAACGTAACAACTAACGATGACATAAAAACGACTACTGCTAAAAAAATTATTAAGATTTAGTAAATATATTAATATAATCATAGTTGTTAAAATATAATAATCAAAATATATTGCAAATATTATGACCAAATAAATAAATAAAATATAAACAGAAAAACACTGAGGAAATCAAAACAAAACAAGTTACAACAAACATCACAAAACAAAACAAAAACTATGCAAAATAAATAAAACAAACAACAACAACAACAAAAAACCTAAAATTAAAAAAATGATTTTAATACACAGTAGAATTAAACATATATATAATATAAATAGCTAAAATGAAAATAAAAACAAATAATATATAATAGTATAAAAAATTTATATACCACTAAAAACAAATAATAACTAAAAAACAAGCAAATGACTAACAAAAAATAATAAGTAAAACTATATACGCTAAAAAATAGAAGAAAAATAAATAAATAATACTAAGAAATGTATGAAAGAAAACTAAAAAAATGTATGAAAAAATAAATAAAAATCTTGATTTGCCCATCAAGGTTCCGCTCTTTAAATGGTTTTTTTTTTTCATTCTTTTTGTTTTTTGCCGTTGTTTTTATATATTTCATTCATTAACTTGTTTTTTTTTAACTTCTTTTTTTGTTACTTTTTCACTTATTTTCTTTCAAACATTTCTTTTTCTTTTCTTCTTTTAAACGATTTATTTATTCTTCTTTTTTGTTGATTTCATTTTTATTTTAATTTATAAATGTTTTCTTTTCTTTTTTAATTTTTAAAAAGATATTTTTCAACGGTTTGAAAAAAGCGTCCACCATTTGCGATGTCATTGCAAAGCCTATGTACATATATACAGGCTTGGTCGGGAAGCGGAAGCGATCGCTCTCGATTGCTGACCACGTAAATAGTATTTAGTTGCGAAAAGCTGGCCAGATTTTTTAGTTGTTTTGAGAACATTTTAACAAGCAAAAAAAAAAAAAAAAAACGCTGAAGATTAATTGGACCGATTGAGAGAATTACAAAAAAATTTTTATAAAATTAGGCGATGTTTTTTATGTAAAGTAACATCTTACGATTGTTTAAAAAGGAAACAAATATTTTTTATTAAACAAAGTTTGCAAGTTTTAGTTTTATTTAAGCTAAATAAAAATAAAAAATTAATAAAAATAAAAATAAAAAAGCTAATTTTTATTAATACCTATTTTATGTTTCGCGTAGTTTGAAAAGTTCAACATATTTGAAGCAATTCTTCTTAGTAAGATAAACAAATGAAATAATTAAATCATTGAATTACTATAGACATTAAATTAACAAGATAGAAATCAACTAAAAAGGTCAAAAATACTTAATGACCAGGAAGCGAAACTGCTTCACAATATCGCTGATGATCTTTCGTGAGTGGGCTTTTTAATTGGTAATTAAAGCAGAAAAAAGTGTAACGAGTTTTTAAGAATGGCAAATGAAGCGAAAATAATTAGAGTTAGTAAACCAATATCTAGAAACTTTTCTTTATATCTAATTATTTGCTATATATATTTGTGTTCTGTTGTGACCTCAGGCGCGGTGCTTGTTCATCCGCGAGTTACTTTGTATGCGTTGCTTGTGTTTAGTAACCAGAGACTTTTTATATGTGTTACATGATTAGTTTTATTAACTTTAACGATTATAACTTTATTGAAAACGCAATTATTTTTATAAGTCTTTGTTTAAATCATGAAAATTGCTTTAAAAGATACATTACGATAAAAAAAAAGATCAACAAATTTACATTTACATAAAGAATACATACGCTTTAAATAAAAAAAAGAATGTACTAATAAAATCTATAATTTATAATAAACTTTTAAAATTTTAATTAATATATATTTAAAACATTTGTTTTTGTAAACAAATAATATATATTCTTAAAACGATTTATGCTAGAAATCTGAAAACGTAACAAATCGTGAATAATATAATTTCTAAAACATTTCAACAAAATGCTCCAAAATTTTATTTCGCTTAGTCAGCATATTTTTTAAACCAATAGAATTAGTTTGTTCCTTAATTTGGCAGGATTTTAGTGTTCGCGAATATTCTTTTTATTCTTTCGCACCAAGATGTTTTGAGAACATTTAAGTTTTTTGTTTTATGGACATACATGTTTCCATGTATGTCCATAAAACAACGTTTTGAGAACATTTAAGTTTATTTACGAAACAAAAATCTTTTGTTTCGTAAATAAACTTAAATGTTCTCAAAACGACTGAAAAACCTGGCCAGTTTTTTGCAACTAAATATATTTCCGTGGTCAGTATTCGAGAGCGAATATATATATATATATATATATATATATATATATATATATATATATATATATATATATATATATATATATATATATACAAATAGTATTGCGTACTTTGGTAAGCAATCTGACGTCATACTGAAATAGCTGGCTGCTGGGGGCTTCAGTACATACAAAGACTGACAAATAGCCTGACTCGCAGTGAAGTGCTGCTACATCGACTGAGGGTTTGGGATGGGGAAGCAATTGTTTTATTTATCATTCTTTGTTTTTTTCTTCTTTTTTTTTGAAAAAAACAGTTTACCTTGAAGTAAGCACAAAAAGTGAGCAAATGCTTATCAAAACACGCTTTAGTAAGTGTGTATATATATATATATATATATATATATATATATATATATATATATATATATATATATATATATATATATATATATATATACATTTATACAATCCAACTTTATTTTGTTACAGTTCACTCTTAAACATTTAACTCGAAATTATAAATATTAACAAAGGTTTGGAAAAAAAGTTAAATGCATGACTGTAAAGATTATTGTGAGGTTTAAACTCCATCTTTCTTGCTTATGAAGCAAGTAAGAAGTATGGAGTTCATACACAAATATACCCAAATACGTATATACATATAATCTTACTTGCTTTTCCATTTATAATCAAAAAATCAAATATAGATCCATTATGTGCATCATTCCAGAGATTTGAAACATAAACCTGGATATCGTTAAAATCAGCAGTCAAAGAATTTTCAACTTGATGGATATTTACACCATTTATATCGACAGAAAAAAAATATTTACTGCAAAAAAGCCACTGGTATATTTTTATGCTAGACCATTGACCCAAGATAAGCCGATCTGTTTCTACAGAGTATTTACTATTACCACTGACTGCAGCGTTAATAACAAGTCTTCCAGAACCATCTTCATGAAACGAAACAGCTAGAGTTTTTTTACTATAACCTTGACTGTTATTACTTGAGATTATTTGAAAAACACTTTTCAAACCCTTTGAATACGCCATTGGTTTCAAATTGAATGAAATAGTGTACTCTTTTTTTAAAACTTTGAGTGTTGCAAAAAGAAAACCTTGGGTTAGAATAATTTTGTCTTTGTGATTAACATAATCTAAATTACCTTTAAAAAAGTTTTTATTATTATTTACACTTCAAGTTTTATAGTATTAATTATATAATTTATATAATTTATTATAATTTAGTATTAATTAAATAATTAATAATAATCAAAAATGTTTAATTTATTTTTATCAAAAGATTTAAAAACAATAAACAATAGTTAAAAGTTTCTAGTTGTTGGTAAGCAATAATAATGAAACCTCTTTTAACTTTGCAAATAAACCCATTTAAGGTATTGCATTCTTTGTCGCCCCATCCATTGGAATTCATTTCTACACAATTTTCAATTCCATCAACATTGTCAGGTTGACTTCCGATCCAGTTGAAGAACTGTGTGTACGTATTATCAGACCACACAAACCTTCTGTTATTCCAAAGTTTATTAAGGCCTATTTAAAAACAATTAACTTAAATTTTGAATAAAATTTGATTTCAATATAGAGTATAAATAGTATAAGCATCATACCAATCCAATAATCACCATAGTCTTTTATTAAACTGTTTTGAATGAATCGATTTTCTTCTTGATTTTCTATACTTAGCAAATTCCCTCCTTTAGACTGACAAGATGAAAAAGATTCATACCAATTATATCCAAAAAATTCCTTTAAACTACGAATGAAGTAGCAATGTTTTTTATAAGTTGTCCAACCTTCAGTACATTTATTATTGGTTGCTAAATAGTATATTTTTAAAAAAACAAGTATTATGTAATTAAAAATAACGAATATATTAATAAGTAAATCACAAAAGTAAAGAGCAATGATAAAATAGAAAAACTTACCTAATAAGTCTTGAACAGATCGAGTGGAAGCAAAGGGATTTAAGACAGATTTAAAGCAGAAGTTTTGCATGGTTAAGTCAAGTATGAGCAAAAAGATAATACTGGAAATCACGCATAGTGAGAAGTGTGTATAGCTATGTAATATGTGCAGAAAAGTAGATAAATTGTTGGAATTTGATTAAAGTAGTTATATTGGTTAAATGTGATTTATTGACATAGTGTTGGTCTATTATGTATTGGTTTAAAAAAACATATGCATAGGAAATTTAAAAAAGAATTAAAAAAAAGAAATTAAAATAAATAGTGCTGAAAGAAGACAGAACCTTGGTAAGTTTTATTTTTATTTTCTAGCTGGCAGAGCAAAAGTGGTATCAAGTGCATTATTAAACGATGTTTGGACCTAATTCAGGAATTGTCTTTATATTTAACAGCAAGAGGTGCATTATTAAAAATTAACAGAAAGCTATAAACCACACGTTTCCAAACTATTACAATGTATGGGAATAAAATGTGGAAAATAAAATGCTAATGACACTCAGCATCTAGAAAGAACAGAGGGAATGGCGTGTGGCATTAATTTTGTTAAGAGTTTATCTGATAATAGTTACTTTAGAAAACATGAAATGTTGAAGCATGTAAATGATAATGCTATGTAGGTAAGATAATTGGATTCAGCAGAGTTGATAAAGATAAAACAGTATAATCAGTTCCATTAAAAAAAAGGTAGGGGTAGAAGAGGTAACAGGGGTAAAACTAAACTAAATTTTAAAAAAGACTTAAAAGTGATCCATTTACAAAAAAAAAGAGTCACAAACATGATTATTGGGTGGATGGCATTAAAAGAAACATCAAACCTCTTCAAAACTTAGAAAAAAGAATATGTAAATGATAATTCCTATAATTTGGTCCAAATAACTTTTGCGTTATGCTAAAACTCATTAATCTTAGATTTCTAAATCTCATATTTTATCAATTAATAAAATAATTATGTTATGTAAATCTTGTTTTACTTAAATACTAAATTTTAAAGTTTTCATTAAAAAATTTTCAAAAACAAATGAAGATCATCTTTTTAATTCAAGGTTACAAGAATATAAGGTGTTAATCAATCATTATCATTTAAAATTATCTCATAATGATCATATATCTTTAATACTTTATTATCTAATATATCTTATATCTTATTGTCATGTCTGCTCTACCTTATTAATTTATATCTCTTATCTAATATATCTTATAAAAATTATAAGTTGTTAATAACACTCTTAATGTTATTATATAAGTTTTAAACTTTGTGATAAAATAAGAGATTAATGTAATGTTTCTTTCTGAAAATAATGAATCTTCGTATCAGACAAAAACTTTTTGTCTCAACATCTTGCTATAGTAAATGGTTATTTGTTTTAAAATAGCAATAAAAGCTTTATTGTCTCCTTGAATAAACTATTGTGGGACTATTACCTTTTTGAATAAAATGAATAAAATAATAGGAAACACAGTTGTAAGCAGTAGTAATTAAAACATTAGTTCATTATCACAGAAAAAAGCACAATAAAAATTAGTTAGCTATATTATAAAGTATTAAAAAGTGTTAAAAAAAAAGCTGTAAAGTAGAAGAAGTAAGTATTAAGAAATAAGAAAGGGTATGCTAGTTGAAAGAAAGGGTATGCTAGTTGAAAGAAAGGGTATGCTAGTTGAAAGAAAGGGTATGCTAGTTGAAAGAAAGGGTATTCTAGTTGAAAGAAAGGGTATGCTAGTTGAAAGAAAGGGTATGCTAGTTGAAAGAAAGGGTATGCTAGTTGAAAGAAAGGGTATGCTAGTTGAAAGAAAGGGTATGCTAGTTGAAAGAAAGGGTATGCTAGTTGAAAGAAAGGGTATAATAGTTGAAAGAAAGGGTATGCTAGTTGAAAGAAAGGGTATGCTAGTTGAAAGAAAGGGTAGTTGAAGAAGTTTAAAATAAAAGCTACAATGAGTTAATTGTATGATCAAATCTACCCAAACAAGAGGTAACTGAGCATAAGGTGTGATCAGAGACTAGACACAATTCAAGAAGTAAAGGTATGTCATTAGGGTGAAGGGTAATAAGAGTTTTTTAATGAAGGTTCATCATATGTTATTAGGGTGAAAGTTGATTGAGTTGCTTGAGGTGAGAGTGAGATGTCTTTAAAAAAGGCTTACCTTTTTTAAAAACATTTCACTCTCACCTCAAAAACATAGTTATATAAAGAATGGATTTAATACATAAATATGATCTAGACTAAGCGTATTAGAGTTTTTGAAAATCAAAGGATAATAGCCATCAAGATGTGGAGATAAAACAGTCAAACTTAAATTTGTTTCACAGTTAGCTAGTAGGTCTGGTGATTTTTGAAGGTGTTATGATTCAACAAATAAAAAGATTCTTTAATCAATGTGAAAGATAAGCTAAAACAATGAGATGGCAATGATGGTTTGAGTCATCTTTTAAGCTACTAGAGAATTCGCTTTATCATCGATAGTGTTTATGTTTATGACACCCAAAGTATTGAGCTATATAGTTTCCTCATTCTTGCTAATTAACCTAAATTTTATATGATAATTGGCCTCAACAATTCACGCAAACAGTTAGCACAAATAGGAACACATCAATTCATAAAATGGCACTGTTAATACTTAGAGATTTTACATTTGTTAATGAAATTTCTGAGAACTACCACAAATATCAAAAAATCTTACAACCTTTAACTTCAGAACCATTAAACTGAGTTTTACATTTGTACTATATTTAGAAAATGTTAAAGAGCTGCAAATCCACTATAAAAGATTCACAAAAAATTACATTAGTAGGTTCAAAAAGATCCAAAAGAAGCATATGAAATAAAAATAAAATTAAAAATACTTTCTCTGTTTCAATAAAAACATACATTTTATTCACACCAAGTATCATAATGTTCCTTATCTACATTAATAATTTGCTATTTTGCTATACCAAATCCAATAGATTGCTTATACTAACTTCCTTATGTGGCATTAACAATCAATGCACTGTTAATGTTAATCAATGCACTGTTATGTGGCATTAACAATCAATGCACTGTTAATAACTTGATATTTTACATTTCTGAATGAAATTAGCATTCTTGAAAGCACAATTATCAGAAAATCTTACTACCATTAGTAATCTTACAACCTCAGAACAATTAAACTGAGTTTTACAGTTGTTCTCTTATTAAAAAACAACTTTAGGAGTTGCAAATCTACTTTAAATGAGCCACAAATAAAAAACCCATGAGTAGACTCAAATAGATCAGGCATTTATTATCCTAGGTGTAAAACAGGTTTACATCTATGTTAGTCATTATATGAAGAAGAAATGCAAAACTGGTCAAAAGCTCCTAAACGCCTGGGAGTTCTTCTCATGACAGCAGCCAGATGCAGCCTGATCAAGATCTGCCTAAGATATTTTTATCAAGACTTCTAGCATGTACTCACCAAAGATTCCCAATGTAGGTAAATATTTTAGATCAAAGATAACTTCTAGAAGCTGAGGAAAGCAAATGCTACATTGTAGCAGAACATCTTTCTATTGTTCACACTGTAATATGTTACCAGTAGCATTATGATCCTGACAAGAGTGTAGTGTCCTACTGCTGTGAGTTTAGTGCTATTTTTACTGTTATTTATAAAATCACTACTTATTCAATTGTTTTTTTTTTTAAAACCATTATTTATAAAAATATAATAAGTAATTTGCATTTTTTGATTTCTTGAAAATATTTATTGATTAATAATTATGATTATTAGTAGTTGTTTGATGATTATGATTGTTTAAAGTTTGAAGTAATATTTCATCAAAGCACTTTCAAAAATGTCATTCTTAAAATAGTTGTTTATAGAACAGTTATTGAGGGAATCAGATGAATTGAGAATGAAATCAGAAGGATCAGGAAAAAAATGAGATAACAGTTTTATAATTATATCATTGCCTAAAGTAATTTTTAGATTCTAGCAAAAACTCTCCTTTCAATGATCTTTTCTTACTTGTTTATTCAAAAACTTATTTTCCGATAACAATTATTACTATCATATATATCAACTGTTGACAAGTGAAACTCATTAAGTGGCACTGCAGCTAATATAAGATAATCAAGTTTTAGTGTACTTAGCCATAAGAAATTACAAAACAGCAATTAATGACATCTCTAGATATTTAGTGTTCTTGTAAATATTTGGCATCAGAGTGAATAAAAGTCAATTTGCCTTACAATTGTACTTAATAAGTTTTACTTTTTTTAGAGTTAATCCTAGAAGATGAAGTGTAGATGACTCATCGAGTACATTACCATTCATAAATATAGGAAGGTCTAAATTATTGCGAGTTTTATCTGAATTAAAATTCACCAGCCACTGTAAGTCCCATACTGTAGCAGAAGTGAGATTCTTTTTAAGCTCAAATGCCCCCTCAAAGCAATCAGAGAGAGTTGGCTTTTATCATGACAAGAATAAATGGTAGTATCATCAGTGAACAATGCCACCTTAGATGTAAGAATATCTGGAAGATCATTAATGTAAATTAAAAAGAGTATAGGGCCAAGGATTGAACCTTGAGGAACCCCTGAGGTTACAGAATTAGAAGAAGAGTGCTGTTCATTAAGGACAACTTTTATACTATGATTGGAAGGGAAGAATTCAATAATCTCAAAAATGTTTCCAGATACACTGTAATAAGAAAGCTTATGGAAAAGACCATTATGCCAAACTTTATCAAACGCTTTAGAAATGTCAAGAGCGATGGCCTTAGCCTCTCCACCTTTATCTAATGTACAATAAAACCTATCAGTTATTATTGTTAGCAAATCAGCTGCAGAACGAGAAAATCGAAATCCATATTGATGATCAAAAAGTAAGTTATTAGATTCAAGATGAGAGATTAAGTATTTATAAATTAAAAATTCAAAAACCTTGCTTATGATAGGAAGAAAACTAATGGAACAGTAGTTAGATGAATCAGATCGCTCTCCAGAATTTTTAAAAATGGGGATAAAAGATGCTGCTTTCCAGCAGGCTGGAAAACAAGACTCTGATAAACACTTGATGAATAGGAAAAAAAAGAATAGACAACAGCTCCCAAGAACACTTCTGCAAGACTATAACAGGTATGTTGTCCGGGCCACAAGCTGTAGAAGAGTCTGAACAGGAAACCACTTTACATACAGAAGGTGGATGGAAACGATATGTCAAGCAATGGATTAACCTGTTTGACGGCTATATCAGGTTTGTTGTTAAAGTTAAAGAAATACAATGCTTTTCGGCATATAATATGTTTTAAATAATATGGATTAAAAATTAAAAGAATAAATATTTATATATTAGTAAAAAAATTTAAACTATGTAAGTAAAAAATATACCCTTTTTACTTTTACAAATAAATCCATTCAAACTTTTACAATTCTTTATTTCCCAATATAATTTACTAATTCTAACACACCTCTCTAACTTTATATCGTAAAATAACCCATTAAACTTAGTATGTATATACTGTGAGTATGTATTATCAGACCACAAAAACCATGAGTTATACCAACGATCAGTAAGACCTATATTAGTGAAAATATATTACAAAACAAAATTAAATAATATCTTAAAACAGAAAATCATGGAAACCAGTTTATTAAAATAAATACTAATAGTACCAATCCAGTAATTCTCTTTATTCATGCTGTGGTTTTTAAGAATGTTTAAAATAAATGCATTTTCTTTTTCATCATCTATGCTTAACAAGTTTCCTCCTTTTTCTAAGCAGTTTAAGTAGGAATGCTCCCATATTTTGCCAACTCCATCATTTGCGGTCTGAAAATAGTAGCAATAACTAGCGAATTCAAACCAATTACTCATGCAATTATTGTTGCTTTCTATTGTACCAAAAAAAAAAAGTAAAAAGACAAATTTAAAGAATATTATGTAAAATAATAAAAAAATATATTTGAGTGCTTGAATAAAACAACATCGGTAACCTCATACTGAAATAACCATCGAAAATAACATTTTTCACCATAACATATTGCCCTTTTTATCTCTATAGTACTAACCAAAACCCATATGTTATGATAACTCTGCTGATAGTATAGGAGGGGGAGGGTGGTTCAAAATGATGTTATTAACATTGTTTTTGCAAGGCTCATCGTGAACAGATATTTATAATACTCACTATATTTATATTAAAATATATGCAAATATATATGTATATATAAAATTATATAAATAGATAAATATAATTTAATTTTTATTTTTTAAATTGATAGATTGTCTGCCTAAACCAAGACCCTCAGCCAATGTAGCTAATTTAATTAGTTTCAATTTACATATCGGCGCAGTGGGCCAGGCAGTGACAAAAGTCAAAAAAGTGATGTTCTTAAAAACAAATTTTTTTAGATGTATATGTATATTATGTGTATAGTATAATCATTCTAAATTAAATATTATTTTTTTTATAACTGAAAAACTGTTTTTACAGTTAGAAATTAAAGAAGTGTTTTTTTCAGATAATCAAAACAACTAAAAATTAAATAAAAAATGTTCAACTTTATTTCTTAACAAACTGAAAATTAATTTTATTTATGGCGCTATTTTTATCAAATTTGAAATATATTTATAGCTTAATAATTTCTTGCTATTATAGAAAAATATAAACCCAAGTTTTTATTATTGATTAAAATGATGTGTAAAAAATCGTTATTACAATTATCATAGAGGTATTTTGTTATATGTTATTCTTGGTATTAGATGCCTCAAAGTCTGCATAAAATATTGATACATAGATACATTATAGTGGAAAAAATTATATTGCCTATTGGCCTTATGTAAGAGGAAGCACAAGAGGCTTGTAATAATGATTTTGAGAGTTATCGCCAACACCATGCAAGAAAAGTAAGTCAATCAAAATGCAATGAAGATGAAATAAAATGATTGTTTTATATGACTGTGCACTTGGGACCGATTGGTGTTGAGTTTCAGAAAAATAGCAACAAAAATGAAAAAAAAATTCCCATTAGTTTTACAACTTTTATGTTGTCCTGATATATATATATATATATATGTTATGAGTACTGTTTGTTTTGTTATATCTAAACTATGTATGATTGTATTTATATATATATATATATATATATATATATATATATATATATATATATATATATATATATATATATATATATATATATATATATATATATATATAAATATATATATATATATATATATATATATATATATATATATATATATATATTTATATATATATATATATATATATATATATATATATATATATATATATATATATATATATATATATATATATATATATATATATATATATATATATAAATATTAGGGTGGTTCAAAAATGGGTCATTGTAAAATTTCAACAAGAGTGGAAACTTATAAGGTGCCCAGATATTGGTTTTATATATAAATATATATATATTTTTTCGTTAATGGTCAAGGGTGGCCCACGGGCCCTAAACATTTTAATTTTGATGATGTTTGTTGATTTTTCGGAAATTTCAACGCCCGTGGGCCACCCTAAAACAATTAAAAAAAAAAAAAAAAACCATCAGTAAACTCAGAATGACTAATAGAAACAAATAAAAATGCACTCTTAATGAAATTTTTTATGTAAAAAGTCTGAATGAACCTAAAAAAATTAGGAAAACTGAATACTTGGCTTTATCAAGCTTTTTTTTTAAGTTTCTTATGATGACATTTTTATCATTTTTTACAGTTAAAATCTCATAAATATGTATAGAAAATCTTTTACCAGTATAAAAAATATTTTTTTTAGATAATTTAAAAAAAATTAAGATGAGAAAGATCTAGACTTCAATGTACTCTATAACCCACGTTTTTTCTCAGCGTACAACAGTGCTGAGTACAACTGTACACATTTATTCCAAACTGGCAATAAGACTGCAATTGATGTCAATCAAGTGTTTGTACTCGTAGCAAAACAAATACAAGTGAAGTTCTAAGAAATATGTTTATTCTTTAATATTAAAATATATAAAGTTAAATTATGTTATGTCTATTATTTCTTTTATAGTTAAATAGATAAAATGCCAAGAACTCCTAGGAAAAAAAGAAAGAGGGCTGATGAAATATTCTTAGTAGGTAAATCAAGGGACTCACTTCCATCTAAGCAATTTGCCACAGGAGAAGAGATTATTCAGTATTACCTTCACCTTCGTAAAATCATGCCTTATGCTGCTCTGAGAAATCTTGCCTGCTGTACCAACAGTAATGGTTTTACACAAATCTGTTCAGAAGATAAGAATCACTGCTGTATTATGTCTAAGCTGGTGGTTCCTTGGAAGCTAGGGGGGTATAGAACTCGTGATGTACAGAATACTCTCAGGTTTGTTTCATTAATATTAATATAATTTTTAATTACTTGATTACTTTATTTGTAATTACTTGAAGTCTTTTATCATTAATCATTTTAGGAAGGAAGTAGAAATGTTGCTGAATAACTACAAGAAGTTGCAATCTCATAGAAATAGAGAAAAACCAGCTGAAATCATGAAGAGGGAGAACTTTGTAACAGAATCTAAGAAGGTATTTTGGATAGGATATAACATAGAAGTATTAATTGAAGACATACAACAGGACAGAAAAAGAACAGCTGAAGCCAAGAAAGAAGATATCAAATTCTTGAATATGCAAAAGTAGAAAAGGACAGGTTACAAAGGACCTAACGACACCAGCTTCAAAAAGGCAGCTGAGAGAGCATCTAAAAATGTTTGTGGAGATGTGAGTGAGAAATCTGATGAGCAGTTGGTGGAATTAGATGAAGATCAATTAGATACTTCTGTTGATTCATTAAGTAATGCAGGTGATGTCAATGAAAGTGATCTGGATAAGTTTGTTTCCACAAATGTTCAGGATAAAGAAAATAGTGTACTTTTACCTAAAGATATTCTCAGGCGTACTGCTATAACTGCTGCAGGTGAAGGTCTTTCAGTGAATCAGCACACTGCTATCATAAGCAGTGTAATAGCTCTCTCAGGAGGAAATGTTGGTAAACATGTTGTCTCTAAATCTTCTTCTTTAAGAGCCATAGATCATGTGATTAATTCAGAAGCTGAAAAAATTTGACAGTACATGAAGAACCTAGCCAAATTATGTCATTCATTCTAGTATATTATTATTCTGTAACCTTTTTTTGTATGTATTTTAATGTTTAAAAACAATAGTTAATAAAATACAGGATAGAAAATCAAGAAAAGATTACCAGAAGTTAGTTGAGCTCTCTTTGATGATTGTTACTAAGGAGGAGAGGTTCAAGTTTCATATGCCTGGACCTGTACACCATGTCAGGTTCATGGCTAAAGCCTTGTATTATCTGAAAATGTACCTTCTACTCGATCACGTTCCTGGTTTAACTAAAGAGAATAAAGAGGAAATATCTGATATGGCTATGTTTGTCAGTATATTTTATGCTCAATGGTTCCTTAGAGCTGAGTTGCCAGCTGCTTCTCCATATCAGGTAAAGTTATAAAAGGTTTTATTTTTAGATTAAAAATAAAAATGACAACATGTAAACTATAACAATTGAATATTATTTACTTTAAATATTTGATAGGACATAAAAGCCCTCTGGCAAATGAAGAGGTGGAAATAAATCTTCCTGGAGCTACTGAAGTAGTTTGATCAATGTCAAGGCATGATTGGTACTTAAGTCCAGTTCTAGTTGTGTTTGCTTCAGCTGATACGAATTACCCTGATAGAGACGAGTTAGCTCAGAAACTCTATAGTACTCATTTGGACAGACCCAATGTCTTCAAACTGGAGCGTATTGAAGTAGATAAGAAAGTTATTCACTCACTAAACTACTCCCAAAATCAGCCTCCATCCCTAGCATCTCTTATTAAAAACCAATCTTGGCTGATCTTTGATAAGATTGGCCATGGGAAGGGGGAATTGCAGTGGCTTAAAACCCTTTCACAATTCTGGGAGCTGAATGATTATTATCTAGAGTTTGAGACTACCATCAAATCTCTAGATGTAGTCTATGATTCTTCTGAGAGAGCTATCAAATTAGTTCAGGAACTTATTATGAAATCCAATAAAGAGGAGAAGAGGCAGGTCATGTTCTTGTTTAACCATGTCTACAAGAGAACTAAACAAGGATCCAAGAAGAACGATCTCCCAGCAAATGCGACTTCCAGCATTATTTGACTTTTTAGTCAACAAAACTGTACCATGATCAACAAAAAAAAGATTTTTTTAAATATTTTCTCAAATTTATATATAAAATGCAATATTGTGGTATATCTAAAACCTTTGACGGTTTAACTATAAAAAATGATAAAAATGTTGTCATAAGAAACTTAAAAAAAAAAGCTTGAAAAAGCCAAATATTCGGTTTTCCTAATTTTTTCAGGTTTATTCAGACTTTTTACGTAAAAAAATTCATTAAGAGTGCATTTTTATTTGTTTCTATTACTCATTCTGAGTTTACTGATAGTTTTTTTTTTTTTTTTTAATTGTTTTAGGGTGGCCCACGGGCGTTGAAATTTCCGAAAAATCAACAAACATCATCAAAATTAAAATGTTTAGGGCCCGTGGGCCACCCTTGACCATTAACGAAATATATACATATTTATATATAAAACCAATATCTGGGCACCTTATAAGTTTCCACTCTTGTTGAAATTTTACAATGACCCATTTTTGAACCACCCTAATATATATATATATATATATATATATATATATATATATATATATATATATATATATATATATATATATATATATATATATATATATATATATATATATATATACATATATATATATATATATATATATATATATATATATATATATATATATATATTTTATTAGT